GTCTCTGTTTGTGCCCTCTGGAATTTCAAAGCTGACTGTCACAGTTTCACTATCCTGGAACCATTTGTATACTGGTGACGATGAGTTGTTTGACCCTTTGTTAGCCATCTCATCATCTGTGTCACTGAATTTAAGAACTGGTGGCTTCTCATCATCATCACCTGATATAGCAGGTAACAGCAAGAGGAGGTAAGTAACATAAAAACTAGTTTCATTATTGACTTTGACAGTAGCTTAAACTATGAGTAGTCGTGCTTTTTCTTAGTCCATCGAGGGTGACGCGGGAGAAAAATAGCTGCGCAAACCAGCCCTTTTTTGCTGGCTCTTTTACCTACACAGACCAACTAAGTTCGGTTAATAAGATGTTTATTATACAGCGCAAACAGAACAAATTAATTTGTTTAATGTAACTGGTTTGCACTAGCCGACATTTTGCTTGCAAATGGCAATGAGCTGAACTTAATTCTGCCAAAGTCTACTTGGCCTCTTTACTTTTCTTTTCTGATCAGGCTTTTTAGCACTTCTACAAATAATATGGTTAGAAGAAAATAGTCAACATTTTTTCATTTTAGTTTCCAACTTTTTCACTGCAAAACCTTATCGGTCTAGATGCTGATCTAGATGGGAAAATCTAGACCGCTTTCAACATCGATTTCAGCCGATCAAATTCGCAAATTCGGTAGTTCCCGATCCTTGTGAGACACAGCCACATAGCAAAAGAAAATAAAGATATGATATGCCCTTGATAATTGTAAATTATGTATTTACTTTAAAATGACAAGTAACCAAGTTTCTTAATTTTAAATATTTTAAATCATTATTATTACAAATTAGTGCTGAAAGATCGACTTCATCATCTTTACTGTTAAGCTTTCACAAAAGGTTTACCAGGTTTGTTTTTAACCTCCAAGCCTCCAAAAAAAAAATGCATTTATGGAAAATAATGAACCAAGGTGTAAATGCCAGAATGTATGGCTGTGTATTGATATTTTGTAAAACAGTTATTTTTTGATGACACAAACTCCACGAACAATTCAGAAATATATGAGAAGCATCACCCAAAAAGAGTCAAAACAAAACCAAGGGCATGCAGAGTACAATTGTCTGTTTTTCTCATTATATATATGAGGTATAAAGTACTTTACCTTTGACCAGAGAAAAAGGTCTTTCGCTTGCCACTAAAATAGCTGTACAACCAGGTTCAATAGCGGCATATACAGGAGCACTGTAACCTCTGAACTGTTGTAACATCTCGCAACTATAACTAACAGCCCCAAATGATGTAACTTGTGAAAAAGCAATCAATTCTAAATGAACAATATGAGCATCTTTCACTGATGTGGCAGTATCATTTTCAGTAATATTTAACAGCAGACAGCTGACAGATCCAGTTTCCTGGCACTGGACTGCATGTAGGATTAAAGATGGCTGATTTAACTGATAGACTGTGGCCACCTTCCACACAGTATTCTCAGAAATGTCCTGTGTTCTGCCTTCTGTTTGCAGCAGGAAAAGTTTGTCACACCCATCTGACAGACAAGCCAGTGATTGCGAAGCAAAGAACAATGTTACATTCAGAGTATCTTTGGTTTTCTCTACTGAGGGTATTTTGAACACCCTATCCACAGAAGAAATCTCTTTGTCCTGGTAATTATAAAAAGACACAAAGTTTAGTGCTGATCAATATTTGAGGCTCCCACGCTCCTCTGCTTCCCAATTCCACGAGGATTAGATTTTTGAATTCATTGGTGGTCAAAAGACGTCTTATGGTCCCAAAAGATTGTACTCAACTATTCTACCATTGAAACGATCATTTTAGATACATACAGATCAAAAGGTGATACTATACTTAAAACAGAGGAAGAGAATGGGATATGAAACTAACACGCATTCTGTTATTATTATTGGCCAGTTCATCAACAGTTTGATTCACTACTTAATCCGGTCAGATATATCAATATTTAAGTATCCACAATCTCAAGAGAAAAAAGGCTGTTTGCAGGATTAAAGCCAGGCTGTCCCTCTTAATTTTAAGTTTTTTATACAAAAGCTTCCTGTTATAAACTGTGATTTTGAAAAATGGCTTTAAAATAAGGCTGTAATAAAACTGACATCAAATTTGTGTTCTCAAGTCTCAAAATAAACAAAAAGGTATACACATTGAGCTGACTAGATTTTCAAAATGATCCAGTAGGGTATATCCCTAGACAACACACTCTTCCCAGATATCCAACCGTTTACCTGTATGTTTGATACTCCAAATGCTCCGCCCAAATATATCTTATAACTATGTTACCTGAGATATGAGGCTGGCGGCAAGGATACTTAATGTAATGTTAGTAATATTAAAGTAATGTTAGTATTGTAAGTAATGCTTAAGTAGAGTTAGTACTGTAAGTTATTAATATTGTGAGTACTGTTGGTGTAATTGTACATAATGTTAGCACAGTACTTGTAAGTAATGCTGATAGTGTAAGTATTGTTAGTATTGCAAGTAATTTTGGTATATTTGAAAGTAAAGTTAGTATTGTAAATTATGTGTCTCCCATTTGTTAAAAAAAAAAAATCAGGATAATTTTCATGTTAGACCCAAACAGATAATTCTTGGGTAAAATTTCACAGACATGACTCAAGATCGATTTAAACATAAGCTTAACTCAAAAGCATTAAAATTGGAATTTATAACCTTGATAAATTTCCAACTAAAAGTAAATTCCCTCCGCCTCCGCCTCCCCCTCCCCTCCCCCACCACCCCCATTGTCATAGAGATTATAGTGTACGAACAAGAAATCGCTCTGCATTTGCAGTTAACAGTTTTTAACAGTGATCTCTTCACAATCTACTTACTTTGACTGTGGCTCTCTGTACTTCATAATTTTCATTTACAAAATAAATGACTTGGTGTTTCACGCCATCCAGCCAAGAATCTAACACGAGGTGATTGAGATTCCCAAATGCTCGCATGTGTTGAAAGGAAAATAATTCCTCTCTGAGCGGTACATCATTCACTGCAGACACTAAGTTTGTGGAAGATAGTGTTAGGGGTTCCAAAGATAGTTTGTAGCCCTCAAACTTTGGGTCTAAAAGGTCACGATTCGGACGAAGCGACTCCATCTTTGAATAAACTGGTTACCAGGGCTAATACGGTGCTCTCGCTTGAAAAGGTCTGGGGACCAGAGCTTTCGACATTCAAACGTCAAAACTAGTCTTACCATCCCACACCCGCTCCCTCAGGAGACAAGAGGGAAAGGGGTCGATAGTTTGTTGCAACCCGGCAACCAGAGAAAAAGGACTCCTGGCCTTGAGCTATGAAGACGTTAAGTCATGTCAAGTCTGTCAACAGACGAGAAGACAACTGAAATTGACGTTTCTCTGATATATTGGCTTCCAGAAAATATTGACACGTGTACGAAAGGGTACTTTAATCGCAATTAATAAATGTAATTGTCTGAGGCAAGATTGATATTTTATCTGTCTGAGCATAATATCAAAATTTGCCAAAAACTTCGAGGAGGTCTCTGAGCGATATTTTAATCATTTCATAATATCACAGTTTTCAAAGCTTTTTTACGTTCATCGATGCGTAGGAAGTCGACCGGTCAAAACTTATTATTTTATAAATTTCTTTTGGAAAACCAAAAGAGGGGTAATAACGAATCGTTTTATTCCCTTCAGCCTGCTCGTTCCACTAGAATGAGCAGGAGACTGGAACTAATACCGTGGGCCACACCCTTAGTTGCTAAGTGTCTTTTGCATAATTTGACAGCTCTTTCGAGATAAAATAAATTAACGAAACCGGATGCGAATATCACGAATCTCTCTGTTAGTATCAAATTGTAACCACTCTTCTTCCTCGTTGTGACTAAAGATCGCATCGAAATAACAAATATTCCGGATGGGCGGTTTATCGAGTTTGTTTTGCGAAAATGTAGTCAATAAACGCCGCTCACAAATTTGCATTTGTTTTTGAAAGACATCACATGTAACCTCAGGTCAATTTTCATTGGTTCAGCCTCCATGGGGCTTTCTTTACGAACAATGGCTTTCAGGTGTCACGATTTGCCATGATTACCAGTAAACAATCAACAACATATAATGCCCCCCAACGATGACGTCATGTTGCCATTGTGGTCCTTTTGTGGGAAACAATTGAATAAATTAGCCCTTGAATATAAACCGCGCCACAATCTCCAAGAGCGACATATTGCAAACTCAAAGGCACAGGCATAGTAAAGTTAACGACGCTTCGCTAAAAATTTTCAAAAATGCGTGAAATCGTTCATCTTCAGGCCGGCCAGTGCGGTAACCAGATCGGCGCTAAGGTATGAGCTTCATTAGAAACAGAAATTTGGCATTTTCGTTCGGATACGCTGATTTCTAATCCTCGCTTTAATATTTCAGTTCTGGGAGGTTATCTCCGACGAGCACGGCATTGATCCAACTGGCACATATCACGGAGACTCCGACCTTCAGTTAGAAAGGATCAACGTATACTACAATGAGGCTACAGGTATTTGTCAAGTTTTGCGCTCGATCGTTTTTCTACACCATGTTTAAGCTTATAGTTGCTTTCGTGTTACGATTCAACATTCGCCCGAGCTAACCTATTGTTTTGTCAACTCGGCAACTTTTTTAGGCGGAAAATATGTTCCCAGAGCTTGCCTCGTCGATCTGGAACCGGGAACGATGGACTCCGTACGTTCAGGTCCGTTTGGACAGATTTTCAGGCCAGACAACTTTGTCTTCGGTGAGTAGAAGCTTCGAATTCTAAAGCATTGAAATATAAATCGTTAAAGACTCTTTTGAAAACTAGCAACACCCAAATATCTGCATAACGAATTAACACAACGCCACGTTTCATCTCAGGCCAAAGCGGAGCTGGAAACAACTGGGCAAAAGGCCACTACACTGAGGGAGCCGAGTTGGTAGATTCTGTACTTGATGTCGTTCGAAAAGAAGCAGAAGGCTGCGACTGCCTTCAAGGCTTTCAACTTACACACTCGTTGGGCGGTGGAACCGGCTCGGGCATGGGAACCCTCCTTATTTCGAAGATCAGAGAAGAATATCCCGACAGAATCATGAACACATTCAGCGTTGTGCCATCACCAAAGGTATCAGACACCGTTGTGGAGCCTTACAACGCTACGCTGTCCGTTCATCAGTTGGTTGAAAACACCGATGAAACGTACTGCATCGACAATGAAGCTCTGTACGATATCTGCTTCAGAACTCTGAAGCTCACCACACCAACTTATGGAGACTTAAACCACCTTGTCTCTGCTACAATGAGCGGTGTAACAACCTGTCTTCGATTCCCCGGCCAGGTAAGACAAAGTACCGATTCAAATCCACTGACTTTTGTAATATAAATGTCAAAACTTCGCGCTCGGAAAAAGTACTTTTAGATCAGGCGTTAGTTGTCAGCTTTTATCAAGAGAGTTGTTTTGTTTTTCGGACAACAAATACTTTACGCTGTTGGCTTAATGAGGCCGCAAATTGAGCGCTAATTTTTTTTACACTTATCATATAATTTTCAGCTTGTTCGAACAAACGTTAGCTATATGTCGCCATGGAAACTGCTTCCAGAAAGACCCGGCAAAAAGTGTGACGTCATGCTTTAAGAAAGTGATTTGAATATCTCGACATCAAAACAAACTTAACTAACCTTAAAGTAAATAAAAAGCTAATCCACGGCTCCATTATGAAATTTTAATGTAAAATGTTTTCGTCTGTATCAGAATTGGTTTGTTAGCACATGAATTGTGAAAACTGATTTTCCTTCTTGATCCCTAAAATCCCCTCCGACAGCGAGTAACAGCTGAACTGACGGATTAAAGGTCAACATTTGAAAAAATTTTCAACCTTATCTTATCTTATATTAACCAATTTGGACAAATGTTCTTGCTTGCAGTTGAACGCTGATCTCAGGAAACTGGCAGTGAACATGGTTCCTTTCCCTCGTCTCCACTTCTTCATGCCTGGCTTTGCTCCACTTACCAGCAGAGGATCCCAGCAGTACCGCGCCCTGACAGTACCAGAACTCACTCAGCAGATGTTTGATGCCAAGAACATGATGGCTGCCTGTGATCCAAGGCATGGACGTTACCTGACAGTGGCAACCATGTTCCGTGGCCGCATGTCCATGAAGGAGGTCGATGAACAGATGCTCAATGTCCAGAACAAGAACAGTTCTTACTTTGTGGAATGGATCCCCAACAATGTCAAGACAGCTGTCTGTGACATCCCTCCTCGTGGTCTGAAGATGTCCTCCACTTTCATTGGCAACAGCACTGCCATCCAGGAACTCTTCAAGCGCATCAGTGAGCAGTTCACTGCTATGTTCAGGCGAAAGGCTTTCTTGCATTGGTACACTGGTGAGGGCATGGATGAGATGGAATTCACTGAGGTAATATCTTTTTCTCGCCGAGCTTAAACACGGATTGTTATTATTTAAATAAAAAACAAATACATAACTTTTTATTAAAGTGTCAAATGTATTTGCACGTTTGTGTTAATTGGGGACACAGTAAATAAATAAACAAATTTTTCAAATAGGACATAATCTATTAAGAATCCCAACTGGTGGGTGCTGACCAGTTAGGTATTTACACAACGCGGTCCAGAAGCTGACTCAGATCCAGATAGCGGTAGAGAGGCGGATTTGGACTAAGGACCTCCAGATTTCAAATCCAGCGCCCTAAAC